TCAACATTATAAAAGGAAATATCACCTATAGCCAGGGATGGATCAAGTGTGGTTTTATAATATTCCAGAAAACAGTAGCATGGGGATATTAGAATGTATGTTTGTTCATAAAAATATGAAGGACAATGAGGTGTAACTTTGATTGTTAGAGCCAGATTCTTGTAATTTGGCAACAATTCCATGTATAATTTTTTAAATTTCAATTAATACCGAAATTTGCACCCCCAGTCACCCTTGCTTAAAGCTCATTGATATACTTCAATATTTTCACGTTTCTCATGTGATTTTCATGTGACTCATAATTCAATAAAAATTAAATACCTGAACATGTCATAAATCACGACATTGTTTTTTACTGGCATACATGAAAATGCAGTAATAAACCTGGAATATCCATCAATTGCACAAACATGTGTGACACCAAACATAGCTATTTTTTCATTCTGGTCTAAGTGCAACTTATGGCCAAAATATTCTGCGATGTATGGATGTGGATTTGTAAGTCTTTCGGTTCGTGCGTTACGCTGTTGCTGGTATAATTGTGAAACCCTAGCCAAGGAATTTCGAACACGTTGCTCAAAGGCAAGTGAAAATCCACATTTGCTATCCAAATAACCCTTCATCATCTTCCGCCCATAAACTGGACCAAACTGCAAAAAAATAATGAACAGATATAGAAAAGCTACTTTAAAATGAAACGAGAGGGAACCAACATTTTGGATGACTATTAAGTTGTAGAATATGCTTATTATGTATTGATATTATGTATTGCTTGAGCAACACTTTTTTCTGTATATGTTTCTCAAATAGATGAAAAAGTACCTCGGAAACAGCATTTTTTACAGCATCATCAAGATGTTCGTCAGAAATAATGCCTCTCTTTCTAATTCCATTTTCCTTGCAAAAGCGTTTTATACTTCGAACAGAAAAACCTCTTTGTTCCGGATACGCTGCTATAAGGGCATCTGACAAATCTTCTAATGTTTTTTTCTCTATGAGATAAGAAGCTTCTTATAAATTGTTCGTGTTCTTCTAAAGCCGCCATATTGGAAATTTCTGGTTTGTGACGGGGGGTGCGTATTGAAGAGCATCAGCCATTTGATGGAAATTGAAATTCAGTTTGAGGATCCGTTTTCCCATGTTTACAAAATAGTTTGAAAGTAACGAAGGAAAATCTTTATTTGGTTCCATTTTTCAGACGAAGAAAAAGGAATTCAATTCTATTTCCGTTTTTTTCAAACATCAAAAAGAAAAAACGAAATTTTATGATCGCAATTCGATTTTTGTTTCAGTGAAAAACGAATGGCCCTTAGATACACGCATTATTAGTACCCTTGCATGGTATATTATGTTTTGAGTATATTTAGTGTTTACTTCTCGAAAGCATATACAGCACTCCCTACATACTAAGTTACATGTAGTTATGTGATCAATGTTAGGTAATGAGATAATTTATTGGTTATTGATTGATTTCCACTTAATATCCTATTTGCAAATATTACATCCCCCTTTCCCTAAGTCTAGATCAGACCAATCCTTTAAATGAACTTGAATATAATTGAGAAATTTGCTCCTTATTTACTGCCAGAGATCTCACAGCCCAAGTCTTGTGTGTTGTTGATTTGAATGCTCCTTTAGATTGTCAACCTTATGGGATTCTGTAAGGCTTAACCCTTTTCGGTGCACATTTTGAAAATCAATGCAAAAAATTTTTTTGTGCGAAACTTAGCTTAAATATAATAAATAACCTCCACAAATGAGAAAAAATATATGTTAAGGTGGGGAAGTAATTTTTTTTATTTGTTGCCATATGGCAACACTACCCGATAACGGTTATATTTTCAAGAAAAATCCTGATGATGAAATATTAAGTTTGGGTGTCAAAATCTTTGACTTTTAGTGCATTTTAGTGATTTTACAGGTCTCAGTGCACACTTGTTTGTTTTTAGGTATGAAAATTTTAGTAGGCCAGGGGGAGAGGGCACTGAAGGGATGGAGAGGGGGCTAAAATAATTGAATATTAACATGGAGCCAGTATCCAGAATATTGTAATATTGAACAATTTATTTACAGTAAACACTCATTTCTCAAAACGTTTCTAAGTATAGTGATAAAAAGATACAGTAGTGAATAATCTTAATGGAAGTTGTCTTTATACTAAAACTAGCTACTGTTTATAATGTAAGATTACCCTAATACAGTTCAACCAATGTAGAAGTCTTTGAAACAGTTCTTTGTTCCAGTAAGACATAAGCAAACATTGCACTTGGTACAATATGTCCGACTGTAACCTTTTTTGCAGTGTCTACACCTGTTCTTTTCTTCCCTGCATTCTGGCCAGTAATGGGCATTATCAGAACGTATGTTTTGTAAAGGAAGTGGTGTATCAGGTTTTCTTCCTCTTTTCTCTGGTTTTGCAAAATCTTCAATGGGGGTCTTCTATGGTGGCCCAGAGCTGCCATAGGTGATTTTACTTTTTAACACAATTTTAAAAAATATAATTTATTTAAAAAAAAATTGTTTTAAAATTAAAACAAATTGAAAACATTTTCAAACAAAACTAAAACAGGAAAAAAAATAAAAGCCAATCAATTTAAATACTTGACTGGCCCACAGCTGCCATAAGATTTTTTTTTAAAAAAAAATCAAAAATTGGCCCACAGATGCCATAAGATTTTTTTTTAAAAAAATCAAAAATTGGCCCACAGCTGCCATAGACCAGCATGCGCTGTGCAGGGATTAACACATTTATAAACAAAATTACACCAAGTACGAACGAGACAAACAGGCAATATGGCGGCCAGAATACGGAACGATAATTGGAAAGACGATGAAACATTGAAGGAAGATCTTGAAAAATATGCTCGAAGTAATCTTACACGAAAGGAGATATTGGATTTCATGAACCGTGACCATGGCGAATACGCATGGAGTTTGAGGACGCTCGATCGACGTTTGGCTTTTTTTGATATTCGACGCATAGACAAAAACGTTACAGTTGAAGAGATAAGAGCAGCAGTAGAGAACGAAGTTAACGGTCCTGGTAAACTCTTGGGGTACAGAGCGATGTACAACAAAATAAGACAGGATTATAATTTAAAGGTTCCACGCAATTTAGTGCATGCAGTCATGTTTGATGTTGACCCCGATGGCCTTGAAGCGCGTAACCCAAATGCACGATGGGAGAGAAGACCTAAAGGCAACTACACGACAAAAGGTACAAATTTTGTTCACTCCATGGATGGCCACGACAAATTAATGGGGTATCAGAATAGTACTTTCCCCCTAGCCATTTACGGTGCAATTGATACTGCGAGTAGAAAAATCCTATGGTTACGAATTTGGGATAGTAACTCCGACCCAAAGAGAATTGGACGGTGGTATTTAGAGTACCTTTATGAGAAGAAAAGGATTGCCACCATGATAAGGATTGATAAGGGCACAGAGACTGGAATAATGGCAACTATTCACTCGTTCCTTAGACAGCACCATGGTGACATGGCCCCTTATGATACAGTGCTTTATGGGCCTTCCACATCAAACCAGGTAATGTTTCTTTATATTTGAACAAAATATCCAAAGCCCTGGTCAAAGGAAATGCTGACAACAAGTGAGACATGTAAATGAGAATGTTTTATAACACACAGTTGCATTATGGAAGCAGTTTAACCTCTTTGAAAAATTCATCAATTTCCACATAAAATATTGTTTGTTTAACTTCTTATCTAGGACTCTTTACATAACAATAATATTTTACACCTAATGTAGATTGAGCGATGGTGGAAGGAACTGCATGAACGTATGGAGAAATATTTCAAGGTGCAACTGTCAATGTTGAAGAATGATGGTGACTATGATCCAGATAATGAGCTTCACAGGTAGGTAGTGACAACAACCTAGCTAATATATGCTAAGGAAAAAGTCCTCAAAATAACTTCCTTTTTGGTTTCAGAAAACTGCTGTCATTTATTTTAATCCCTGTTGTGCAACGTGAACTTGATGATTTCAAAAAAATTGTGTGGAATAGTCATAGAATCCGACACCAGAAAGACACCTTGCTACCTGATGGGATCCCTGATCACATCCATGCTTTTCCACAAGAGTATGGGCTAGAAGAATGTGGTAAATATTAATCATATTATTTCCAACTACAAATTATTTTCATTATATATGATTGTACCTTTTCAATAATACCATTGATCAATGGTTCAGATATCCATAACATGAATTTATATTTTGATGCAGGTTTTCATGTAACAGAGGACCAATTAGCTGAAGTGGCTCAACATTCTGGAGTATTAGATCTCGAAAATGATTTCCTCTCACCAGAAATGCGACAGCAGTGTGAGACAATCATACCATATCCAGAGAAAATTGAATCATCAGATTGTGCAAAAGCATTCTTATATCTGAAAAGACGTTACTCTGAAGAGAGTTAATTAACACATCTGATGTGACATAAACAAAGAATAAAATCTAAAATTTGTTAAGGGCAAGGATCAGAGACAAGATGAAATTATACAAACCACAAGTTTATTTTAGTTAAAGTGAAATATTCTGTTTTTAACATTAAATCAACTGAACAAACTCAGCATATGTAAACAATTTTTGACCTAATTATATATAGAAAACCCCACAAGTTTAACTATCAATTCAAGTTAATTATCCATCCTCTACAATATATAACTTCTTATTTGTGAACTAGCTTTTTCTGAGACATAACTTTTTCTGAGATTTTTCTTTTTTTGAGATTTTTCTTTAAGCATTCTGTATTAGAACATTATTAAAACATTTTGTTTAAATGCATATTACATAGTGGGGTATTCTATAGTTATTCCACTTTCTTTGAACAAAATATGAATATAGCTTTCACCCAGAAAACTATTTACACAACTGCTGATATTCTTAGTACAAAAGTTTAAAATATTGTCAGGTCTTAACTATAACAGCAACCAAGATAAGTTAAAAAGATTTGTTCAACTGTAGTGTTCAAGACGTGTTTAAAGTTCTGTTAGACCAGCAGATTTACAGTACTTATTACAACTATGATCATTCACAAAGTTTGTAATTGCAATCTTTGATAAGTTACCACTGCAAAATAGCATCTCACAATCCTGATCAAATAGATCAGATGTTGCTATTTCTGGATCATAAAGGGTGTGGTCAGATCCTTGTATGTCGAGAATAATTAATTTCCTGTCAGACTTCTGATAGGAAAAATGAGCCAGGCAGCCTGCTTTTTGGCTAACATCAGACTCCTCAACACATGAAATGCCATCATTGTTTATGTACTTCATAAAGTCTCCACTGACATATTCTTCAACACTGACATACTGGTTGTCATCTGTTACACCAAAAAATACCTTATTGTACTTAAGAGGAGTTTTATACACACTTGATTCCATTGTTTTCTCAAGCTGAATGGCAAAATTTCGTGCCAGCATGTGCATTTGAACTGTTTTCTTAGTGTGGGACTCCAAGCTCTGGTTAGCTTCTTCAATATCTTTCTCTGCTTTAGGTAGGTAGTATTTGACAACCCACTTAGAGTAGACAAATTGGGGGTGGGTGGTTGTTGCTTTACGTGCCTCACGGAATGCCCCAATTCCTAGTGGCTCTTCTTCAACAACAAATTCAACAGTAGTGGGAACTACGTTCCAAGCCATTAATTCAATGTTAAAGGAATGTAATGTGATCACAGTTGTGCTTTTCTTGTCAAGAACTTTGCCCATCTTTAACATTTCTAATACTGAAAGACTTTTAGGAAAACACTGGCTTTTGACAGGCGATGGATTCTTTTTAAGCTGTGCATATGACATTGATTTTGCTGCATCTTTAGCGACGCGTACTTTCCTCGGTTGATTGACCTCGGCAGGTTGGGTATCTTGTATGTCATTGTATACTTCCTCTTCATCGCATTTGATGAAGCGAACATGGACGAGCTTGGAGACATTCGGCACTTGGTCCATTGTTTTGCAAGAAGGCCCTTGCTCGCCTGCCAGGACGTCACAGCGAAGATCCCCTGATATATTGAAATGTTTTTCACACGCTAACTTGATGTTATCCAGGCTCATGTCTTCTTCGGGATCAAAGGGCACAAATTCACGTGGTCCAATTCTACTAAACTTTTGAGCTTTACCAGAAACCTCTGCGCTTAGTCTCTGGACAATCAGCTCGGATTTCTTTAATCGTTTAGTATCTTTCGTCGTTTTGTTTTGCCGTTTTCGCTTCATTTCATCTTTAAATGCATGCCATGCGTTGTCCTTAGCAGCCATTTTGGCCAGTGAATGTGTTATAATTTTGGTGTAATTTTGTTTATAAATGTGTTAATCCCTGCGCAGCGCATGCTGGTCTATGGCAGCTGTGGGCCAATTTTTGATTTAAAAAAAAATCTTATGGCAGCTGTGGGCCAATTTTTGATTTTTCCAAAAAAAATCTTATGGCAGCTGTGGGCCAATTTTTGATTTTTTTTTAAAAAAAAATCTTATGGCAGCTGTGGGCCAGTCAAGTATTTAAATTGATTGGCTTTTATTTTTTTTCCTGTTTTATTTTGTTTGAAAATGTTTTCAATTTGTTTTAATTTTTAAACAATTTTTTTTAAAATAAATTATATTTTTTAAAATTGTGTTAAAAAGTAAAATCAACTATGGCAGCTCTGGGCCACCATAGTCTTCCTACCTTTCTCTTTAGGGTTGATTTTCCGCACTTGATGAGACTTTCAGCAATTTCAAGAGCAAAATCTAACAGTGAATGCCATTTATGTTTTGGCACCTTCCTGAGCTCACAGTGGCAACAATATAAGAGTCAAGCATTGACTTTTGCAATATCGACACAATGGAAGAGAACTTTGAGGTACCAACGTCTTGACTTTATCTTGGTGCAGTATAATGCAATCAGCATGTCAGCCAAATCAACACCTCCCATAACATCATTGTACCGACATATCATCCAGCTGATCTGAGATCATGACGTCATAAAGCGTCTCGACAAAACTGAGTTATCATGTGCCAGGTGTTATTTCTCCTTATTCTTCCAACTAATAGTATAAAGGGTGAAAAATTTGAATTGTAAATGCAGTTGGGAAAAAAATAAACATGTTTTTACATAAATATAATAAAATTACTTGATATTTTCGAGTGTCAAAGTCATATGAAATAAAGGAAATGATAATTCAGTTTTGTCGAAGATCTGGCTTCTTATTGGTTAATTTTTATACCCAGATCAGCTGAATATCTGGGCATTGAACATCCACATACTTCTTCAGTTTCCCATCCCAATATTTTAGCAGTACATGTGGCCTTTTACACCAGCAAAAGTAGATGCAACTTGTACACACTTGTTGTCTTGCCATCGAATAATATGAAGCTGGGAGGAACTGTATTTGGTTTGATATCACTGTATTTGGTTTTGGCAGGGATTATTTGCTCATCGATTGAATGACACTCTTCTGGCTCAACCTTAAAACAGTTTTGGCGAATTCCCTCTACAACTGGGAGGACTTTATACAAGCGGTAATCTTTGTTAGCTGGATTATTCCTCTTTGAGTTGTCATTCACATGTAGAAATTGTCACACTTTTTGTACCTTTTTAATGGCATACCATTGGTTCATAATGTGTTCTACTGTTGCAATAAAGTTCATATCTTGGCATTTTGATGAGGCCCATCTTTATTTGGATGCCCAGTAGCATTTCCACTTCATCTTTTGTAGTGCCCACACTGTTACCTTTGCTCTTACACTGTAAAAATTTGTCTGCTCAACAATATTGTTAGTTATACTGTCATCCCAGAACTGTTTAAAATAGCAAAGGGGTGTCAGTTCATCAACACTGTCAGGTAGTGCGAAACCTGCACCAGCAAACAATATGTGTGCTAACTCCGGTTCTTTCTTCTTCCATTTGAAAATGTGTTCTTTAGGAGGATCTTCATTGACTGTAGCTTCCTCATCTTCAATATTTGTGCTGTTATCTTCTTCAGCTGTGTTGCTTTGGCAAATATTTACTAAAGATGTTTCATCAGTGTAATTATCATCATCATCAAGGTCTGACAACTCCGAATCAGAACCTGGCTCCAATACATATTGAACTGCTTCCTCTATTGTTAATCTTGTTCTTGTCCACTTCTCCACCTCCATAATGTATTACCTCCAGAAAAAAGTTACCTTATTTTGATACATTTAAAAGAATTCTCTTGATTGATGTCTTAATCTTATCGATAAAAAGTGCAACCAAAGCATCATGAGTCATTTCATGCATAGTATTTGACTATTTTATTGAAAAGAGAAAGCCAAGATGTATAAAATTATTTAGCTGGTAATGTATAGAGCATGTTTGTTGACAGAAAAGAATCAACACTCATTAGAGTGTTTGATAATTTGCATTATATTGAAGTTTGCGATGCAAATTATAATATTCACAACTATTTATAGCATATTATGTTTGTTATGATTAGCACCTACTTCCTTCGACCTACTACTCCTAAGACCTACTTTGTCCACCTGCTGCAAGAACCACTAAATATCAAAGTTCATTTAGGATAAATGGTGTAAGAACATGGAATACTCTTCCAAATAATCTTAGAAGTGAACAGAATTTTCTAACTTTTAAGAGACGTCTTAAAAATTACTTAAAAGGACTTTAATTATTAACTTATTCATTTAATCTATATCGTTAAGTATTTGTCTGGATGTAGTATTGTTCTTGTATTGTGTAAGAGTTTGTAATTATCATAGACACAGGGCTCCTTTTAAACCAGCTTTTGCTGAATAGGACATCCCTGTTTAAATATTATTAAACACAAACACAAGCTTTATTTGTTTATCAAGTCATAATCTTGGAGCTGTTGAGTGTTTAACGATTTCAAGATCGAAACTCGATCACGCAGTTAGATACTCTAGATGAAACTGGACAGGTTCATATTGTGTGAACTTCCAACAAGAAAATTTCATTTGGGAACCAGCATCCAATGATGAATCTGGTAGGGCCTCAACTCTCAGCACTTTGCCAGAAGAAGAAAAAAACAAAATTGAGAAAATCCTGTTTCTTCTTGACAAGTTCTGTGTGGGAGATAATTTCATCATGAGTTATCAATGATGGTTGATGGACTTCCAAGGTCATATCTGGTGAAGCAATCGCACCAAGTTTTAAACAACAATTGTCACCTAGAAGGATTGAAGGGCAAGTTTCCTAGAGCCAGAGTCAGCTCTGTGAAAAATCTACTAGCAGATCATGTTTCAGACTATATAAACAAAATCCTGGTTTTTGTGCTGAGACTGATTCAATTCAAATTAAAATCAGCGGTGATAGAGCAAAAATGACCAATAATTCTAATTTTATTTTATTATCATTTGCCATGTTGGAAAGTGGTGAGAGTGTTATGTCAGCTAAGGAAATAACGATTGGAATTGTAAACGGGAAGGAGGATTACAACACAATAAAGGATTCTTTTGGGATATAATCAATGAAATAAATAAACTTGTTTTTGTTGGAAAAGTAAATGTAGATGGTAAAAGATAGACCTTGAATTCTTCTTGGGTGGGGACTGTAAATTTATCCTACTGATGCTAGGACTGAAAGGTGCAACATCAAATTATGCCTGTGCTTGGTGAAAATTACATAAAGGAGAGGTGGAGAATAGATCAGCATTACACTCAATTTAATAAACCTGAGGCTTCTAGGAAGAAATGCATGCTGTGTGCACAAAGTCAAAAGAGAACTATTATTGTAATCATGCACCATTGTTTAACATTGATCTCGACCATGCTGTACCAGATGAACTGCACTTACTACTTCATGTGACAGATATTCTCACTGAAAACTTGGTGCAGGAGTGTATTCATTGGGACAAAGAGGAAGAGATTGACTGTCCAAAAGGTTCAGTTCATGGAGTTCACCTGGAGAAGCTAATCCAAACAGTTAGATCTTGTGGTGCGTCTTTTGATGTGTGGAAAAAGAGGGATACTGATGGGAAATGAAGTGGCTAGCTTGCTGGGGTTACCTCAAAAGACAGCCGGGATTTTGCGCCCAGAGACTGTTGAAGGAATTATAACAATATGGAAACGTTTTGAATAGGTATATAAAGTAATAACTAACAGGAGCCCAGATGAAAATCCAACAGAATTATGGATAATGGCTATGGACTGGGTAAAATGTTTTCTATCAATGAATGGTAAGAGGGAGGGCTATGAGAGAAAAAGGATAACCCCCTATATGCACATCATGGTACAGCACTTCATAAGGTTTTTAGAGCTTTATGGGTCAGTGAAAATTTTTACAGGACAGGGGGTGGAAAACAATAGTGATGTTGCTCAGAATATAGTTGTGCAAAAGTCAAACAAATGGGACACCGCATGCCATGTACTTCAACATGAGAAAGACAATAGGAACTGCAGGATTGTGAAAAAAACCTAGAGGTTACACTCTAAGTAATGAATTGTATTGGGGAAGTGGGGTCAGTGAAAGCAGGCAAAAAAGAAAACGAGTAAGAGCTAATCAGCAAGTAAATCAGGATGCTAACCTATCTAACAGCCAGTCAATTGTGCATGTGCCCAGTACCATTCAGTTACTACCCATTGTTGAGAACTTAATATAAGGTTTATATAATGAACCACATGTCACATGACTGTTGTCACATGTGCCTTTGTGCACCTTGTGTTCTTGTTTTTTTTGTGATATCTATATGTTTTTGTATAGCGTTATCAATCATGAATAAATACGGTTAAATGTTCGACTTAGACCTCAATTTCCTAACAGGTCATGGGCCCAGGATTTTTAGGTCCACTTCGAAAAGTCGATTGTATGTTTATTTGAATCGTATAGTGATTATTTGAAGAAAAATATAATGGCTTCGTCGTCGGATACTTTGACAAATGCGTTGAGGTTTGCGAAGTTGAATGGCTCGAATTACAGAGTGTGGGCGTTCAACATGCGGCTATACTTGGAGAGCTTGGACCTTTTCGAACATGTGTATGGTACAGCTGAATCTCCTGGAGAAGAGGCTAGCCCTGAAACGCAAAGAACCTTCAACTTGGGAGCAAAAAAGGCTTGGATGTATATTTGTTTGGGAATTGAACCGGAACAGCAAATACACGTGAGAGAAACTACAACTGCTAAAGGTGCCTGGGATGCTTTACGAAATCAATTCACCAGAGAATCACTGTTGCAAAAGGTGAGATTGCGTCAACAATACTATTGTTGTCGTTTCCGTGCTGGAGAGAATATGTTGGAGCATATTGGTCACCTCAGATCATTGCATGATCAATTGAAGGAAATGGGAATT